GAGACACATTTAGACCAAGGTCTGGCTTCCATTATTTTCTTTATGAAACCATATAGCACTTTTTTCTTGGTTGTTCAGTTTAGCATTGCTTTTACCCTTCTCTTCTTTTGTATGTAATTGGTGTGTTTATTTTTTGTCTAGGTTGTGAGCTCTTTGAAAACAAAGATTATGCCCAACCTCCTTGCCTAGCTGTTGGTATATTCACTAACATTTTTTTCTGCCAAGTGGACAAAGACCACTAAATTTTAGTCATATGTACTATACAACACTGGTGTTAGTCAAATCTCCATTTCTGATCTACCCTTCCCCCATGCAAGCTATAGATGTAGATCATCTATAGTGAGTTGCCTACTGAAATTTCCCCTTGGATATCTAATAGGCATTTCTAATTTAACATGTTCCAAACAGTTTTGCCTCCATTGTTCACCATCTGCCAGTTGCTAAGGCAAAAATCTATGAATCATTCTTAGTTCTGTCTTTAATCTTCCATATCTAATCCATCAGAAGTTCCATTGGCTCTATCTCTGAAATACATCTTAACTAAATGGAGCAAAATTTGAGTATCATACAACTAGATTAGGGATAACTGCAGGAATGAAGGAGTGATATACCTAGGAATAGGGAAGTAATTTGAAGCCAGACGGCAAGGGCCTTTTATGCCAAACTAAGGAGTTCCAATGTTATTCTGTTAGGGGATAATTACTGAGGTTTTTGAGTAGGTCACTTACTCATTCTATGCTTCAGGAATGAATTGGTAGAGGGAATAAATGAGGCTATCCTTAAAATTGCAACGAGAGAGAATTAGTAGGAGTGAATTTTTAGGGGCAGCAGTATCAGCCTTACTAGTGCCATGAGAGAAGATTGGGTATCTGGCCAACAGAAAAGGTAGAGTAGGAGCAGAATATAAGGGCTTGAAAGCCAGGCAAAAGCATATAAACTGGGATTTCTGGGTTTTAATGCCTGTTCCCCTACTTGGGAAAAGTCCTTTATCTTTTCTAGAACCCAGTTTCCTTTTCCTAGGTTTTACTTCAGCTGTACATGTTATAATTTTCTATAATACTCTGCTAAAGTGGTTCTCAAAACTTGACTGCACATCGGAATCACCTACAGACCTTTAAAAGCTATCAATGGCTGGGTCCCACTCCCAGAGATTCAGATTTATCTGGTCTTGGGATGCAGCCTGGAAATTGAGATATTTAAAAGGCCCCAGTGATTTTAATGTGCAGCCAAGGTTGAGATCAAATGATATATTAAATAGAAAATAGTGAAGCGCTAAGATTCTTTTCTTTTTTTTTTTTTTTTTTTGACAGAGTCTCACTCTGCTGCCCAGGCTAGAGTGCCACTGTGTCGGCCTAGCTCACAGCAACTTTAAACTCCTGGACTCAAGCGATCCTCCTGCCTCAGCCTCCCAACTAGCTGGGACTACAGGCATGCGCTGCCATACCCAGCTAATTTTCTCTATATATTTTTAGTTGGCCAATTAATTTCTTTCTATTTTTAGTAGAGATGGGGTCTCACTCTTGCTCAGGCCGGTTTCTAACTCCTGACCTTGAGTGATCCTGCAGCCTCAACCTCCCAGAGTGCTAGGATTACAGGTGTGAGCCACCAAGCCCGGCCAAGCACTAAGATTCTTAAGCATGGTAATGATATGTTTAAAAGTGTTTTAAGAAAGCCTAACATGAAAATACAGACTAGAAGGAAAACACTGTAGAAGACCAAGTAGAATTTTTCAATATTTCAGGATAAAAATATACTAAGGCCTAGATTAGCATATACACAATGATGTTGCAGGGAAGAAGATGCATGCAAGAAACGTTTAGAGAGAAATAACACCAGGACTTAGTAACTGACTGAATATTAAATTTGATCAAAAGGAAAGAGAAAATGTACAGTCAAGTTTCTAGCATAGAAGAAATTTAGCATAGAAGAAATCTATCTTCTAGCATAGAAGAAATCTATTCCATCTATAGTGGAATCCTTAGCAAAAGAAATAGTTGTGAAATAGGCGGTTTACCAATATTATTGTCAATATGGAAACTAACATTAACTGCTACGTCAGGGTCTATGCTATGTGCTTATCTCATTTGATCTTTACAACAACTCTATAAATACTGTCATCATTCACATTTTACAGATTTAGAAACTGAAGGAAAGAGCAATTAAGTACTAACTTGTCTAGGCTGGGAGCGGTGGCTCACACCTATAATCCTGGCACTCTGGGAAGCAAAGGTGAGAGGATCGCTCAAGCTCAGGAGTTTGAGACCAGCCTAAGCAAGAGTGAGACTCCATCTCTACTAAAATAGAAAAGATTAGCCAGGTGTGGTAGCCCATGCCTATAGTCCCGCTACTCGGGAGACTCAGGAGGCTGAGGCAAGAGGATTGCTTGATCCCAGGAGTTTGAGGTTACTGTGAACTAGGCTGACACCATGGCACTCTAGCCCAGGCAGCAGAGCAAGACTCTATTTCTAAATAAATAACTTGCTGAAAGTTTCACAGTAAGTGGTAGAGAAGATATTTAAATTCACCTGGTCTAACTCCTTTTCCTTATAATAAATTTCCTTAATAAATCTGTTGAGTTTGAACAAATAACTTTAAACAGCAAAATGGCTGTAGAAGCCAGACTGGAACATAAATGAGTGAACTAAGTGAGATTTAACTATGGAGGAATGAAGAGAAAGCACTTAGAGGAGGCAGTCCTACTTGGCTATACTTGAATGTTGCCCTATAAGAATTTCAGGCCCATTATGACCATATTTTAAGATTTTTCATGAAAATTTGGAAATCTGGATTTGTATATAAAATCTCCTAATATTTGAATTCAACTAATTCAAATGTCAAAACTACTCTGTGGCAAACTAAATATGGCTGCAGTTCTGCATCTCTGATCAATAAACGGTTGGAAATTCAGAATTGGATTTAAAGCAAGAGATCTTGCCTGGCGATGTAGGAGTAGGGAATCCTGAAGCACAGAAAGGATAGCAGATGCTCCAGGAGTAGTTCGTGATAGAATAATTACTGGCATTTAACATGATTTTTTAAAATAATGCAAAAATATATGCATTAACAAGTCAGTCAAGACTCTTATGAGTTTTTCAGTCTTATAAACTGATAAAACAAACTTATAAACTGCTCAAATAGAAGTGTAAAACTAGCAGATTGAAATTGGTATATTTAAATTCAATTTTCTGCAAACTAAAAGCTAATTTCTAGACATTGACTTGAATTTTCATATATCCATAATGTGATGGAAACATTGCAGAATTATGAATGTTTATTTCTCCCACTGATTGGAAGGTAATTGAAATGATGTATTTTATCAATATTTTCACTTTTCCCTCCTAGGGTTACTCCCTCCCAGGCCAGTTTCTCACATACACTCATATCTACAAAGCCCATAGCAGAGGAAGGGGTTCCCAATTAGCAAAGATTAAATAACACTTTTTACATTTTTAATTATTGAATTTCAAGTTTCCTAATTAAAAGAACATTCAGCTTTTAGAGCTAGGTGAATATTCTCTTTGAAGTCTAGGCTAGAATAATGGGTTTCTAAAAAAATTTTTTTTATTTCCTTCCTCATGCTACCTAGTCTAAGATAGAATAGTGTTTTTGAACACCATTCTTCCTATAAGACTAATGTATTCATTATCAGACATGAGGAATGTAAACCAGTTATGTAAAAATATCACATATATTAAAGCATTTTTGAAAATTGTAAAGCCCTACAGAAATTAGAAATATTCTGTTATCTTGAAGCCAGAAGTGTCCTAAAATTACAAAGTAAAACCTCTTATATTTGAAACAAAATTTATACCTTTCCCCAAAATAATCATTTTATTTTTCAAAAAAAAACATGTAACTAACTCCACAAGTGAGAATAAATTTTCTAGTTCTTAAAAGTAAAGTTCAAGTGAAATTGATTTAATAGCAATAATTGTAGTAATAATAAAGTAGGGGAAGGATCAATCAATTCCAGCATCTTTAGGCAAAGACTTAAAGATGTTGGAATTGTGTTAGAAACCTTCAAAGTCACACCATATCCTTCTATTATCAGATTTAAACGTCCTAGGAAAAACTATGCAACTTTCCTGAAAATTGTCTCAAGGACTAGGTGATTTCAACATCAAGAGCTGTTTTGACATGTCAAACTTAAGTTTCAGTCTTTGAAAATCATGCCCTTTATTGAAGACTTTCTTTAGAAGTCAAGCATGTTAAAACACACATACACTTTCTCGCTCTTGATTATACACTGTATCAAGAACAGTGCGTTCAAAATGGAGATGGGGACATATCTGTTAAGTATATGCAAACATGACTCCATTTTTGTATAGCTAAAACGGCGCAAATAATGGAACACAGTACCTATTCTTTAAAATATTACCTGAGAAGTATATATATTTGGACTTGCGGCTTCTCAAAGCCTAATCCTACTTCCTATGGTGGACCTTATATAAAATGAAAATACACAGCTGACAATGTTTAACGTGCTCTTTAAAAAAAGAAAGAACAAACAAAACCCTGGAGCTAGTAATTTAAAATCCACCAAACGCCCGCGCTCTGCAAACACTTCTTCCAAAGAAATCTAGCATGTTCTGAGTATTCCTCGGTGACCGCTGTCTGGACATTCCTTTGGGGAAAACCGTTTCTTGTGTAAGGTACAAAGACAGACACTAAACCCCTTCGTTTCATTCACCCTGCAGGGGGTGGATCAATAAGGAGCTGAGTGAAGCTTCTTTTTCGCTTTGGGGCTCACGTCTTTGCTCCTCAACCCTACTCCCTCACCCTGAGGCTGCCCAAGCCAAAGACCTGCAGACAGGTAGCGATTCCCGGCGCAGAGCCCCGGGGGCGCCAGGCCTCAAGCCTACAGGCCAGTCCCAGGGAGCCCAGGCACGCGACGGGCAATCACAGCTCCGTGGGGGCGCCAGGAAAATCAGTGCTCTGACATGCCACGGACGGAGGTCGGGTAAGGTAGCAAAAGGGCGCGTTTTCTTCCCCAATTCCCGATGAGAAAACGAGGTAGAGGGAAAAGGGATTTGTATAACTCAAGCACGGGGTACAGACTCAGGGAACAAAGAGACTGTGGAGGAAGACTAAGCAGCCACACCAACGCAGACTCAAAGGGGCTCTCCGACTTTACGCAAGTGGCCCAAAGCTTGACAGCGCTCAGTTCCCCTTACGCCACTAGCTTGGCCTCAGAGGCTTCGCGAATATGGCTTTGCGCACTGCGGCGGGGCTGCGCCGCAACCGAGCTTGGCCCTGTGGCTCCTCCCCGTCGCCCTGCGCGGATTGGTGGCAGACGACAGCCAGGCTGCTGATTGGGTGGCGAAGGAGCCATTCGGGGCGGCTCTGGTGGGTTCGGCTGCCCTAGAGTGATAAGTTCGGCTTCAGACACGCCTTAGCGCCAGCAGCGAGTCGGAGCTCTATGGAGGTGGCAGCGGTTACCGGGTGGTGGCTGCAGCAGCGACTCCTCTGAGCTGAGAGTTGCCAGCCGTCCCCGACTCCTTCCTCCCCCTTCCCTCCCCCTTTTTTGTTTTCCGTTCCCCTTTCCCTTCCCTTCCCTGTCCCCGACAACCGGATCCTGAGGAGGCAGCTGCGGTGGCAGCTGCTGAGTTCTCGGTGAAGGTGAGTGGAGACGCTGCCGCCGCCGCCGACGCTGCTGCCGAGTGGAGCGCTCTAAAATGGCCGCCGTCCCTGGCCGCTTCTTCTCCAGCGGTACAAAATGGCGGCCGCAGGCGGAGCCGGGTGGGGCGACCCTTTTTTAGCGTTTTTTCTGCACTTCAGGCACCTGGAAAGTCTTGGTCTTTGTTTCCCCTACCCGTTGCTTACGGAGTAGAAGGAAGAGTGCGGCCTCGGCCCGGCCGCCGTCCAGCCAAGGCCGGGTGGCCGTCCCCTGCGGGGCCGAGGCCGTGGCGGACCAAGGCGCGGGTGTGCCCGGAGCGCGAGGGAGCGTGGCGAGGGCCACGCGCGCCGCGGCGGGAGGGACGCGGGCCGGCGGGGAGGGCCCGGCCGTTGGCGCGGGACCAGCGAAGCGCAGGAGTCCCGGAGCCCGGCCTCCAGGCGAGGAGGTGGTGTGTGGGGCCCGGTAGCGGCGGGGCTGCCTTTCGTGGGGGAGGGAAGAGAGAGGGAGTGTTTCTGTCCCTTTTGTCAGCTTAGGAAGCAGTGGCGAGGCCGCTGTCAGACCCGGGGGATTTATGGGGTGGGAGGGGGCCGGCCTGGAGGTGGCGGGTGGGCAGGAGGCCGCCTTCCTCCTGGAGAACAAAGAGCCAGGCGCTGGGCTGGCGGGGGCGGCCTCTGCTGCTCCTCCCCGCCGAGGGACCCGCGGCCTCGTGGGGCGGCTGTCGGAAGCACTTCCCTAACTCGAGCCTGGGTGGGAGGAATCCACCGCTCTTTTGTTCCCAGGAAGGGAAAAACGGGGTGGAGGTTCCTGCTGCCATGTTGTGGCCCCGGTCTTGCGCTTGCCCGGTGCCAGCCGCTGCACACCCATGCCCCTCTCTTGCTTGTCTCCACAAGCTGTCCATGGAGGGCGGTTAAAAGGATGGACGGTGGAGAAAACCCCTGAGCGGTCTTCAGTGATACCTTATCCAGTCTGGTGGTGGGCTCATCGTTGAGGCAGTAAAAATTAGGGGAGACATTTTTCACATAATACTGCCTGTGTCGGAAGAGTTAGATTTTTGTTTGTATTATTGATCTCAGTGCTCAGTTTTAAAGGCGGTAGAGTGTGGCTTTCTCAGATTTGTTCTTAGAAGTTTGAGATGTTCTCGCATTTCTATGAAGGCTGTTCTTTGCATCTTTGAACACCAGGGAATTTCCAGGTAGCTAAAGAAAATGAAATTTTATTGTCTATTTGTGTTTTGAGTACATTCTAGTTTATTCTTATGAGATCTGCAATGCAGTGAAAGTTCAATCAACTGCAGCGCCAGAATCTGATATAAATTATAATTGAATGAAGGTTTATACATCGGTACATTAGCAGTATCTAATTCTGGTGTTCTTTCTCATTCTAGGTTTTTCATTTCTCCCATACCCTCCCCTCCCCACCCCATCCATTAATATTATTCTTTTGAAGATTCTTCGTTGTCAAGCCGCCAAAGTGGAGAGTGCGATTGCAGAAGGGGGTGCTTCTCGTTTCAGGTATACATACATTTAATTTTGGGAATGCTTTGGAAAAGCCCAGTCCTAAAACCAAGAGTCACTACACCAAATAATTCTTAATGGCCTGCAATTTAAATGTTTAAAGTTCCTTCAACTCTGCCCTGAGTTAAAAAAAAAGTAAAAATTAATTTAAAAAATGTAAAGTAAAGTTCTTAAATTTTCACTGACAGTCTTTGTAAATAATTGCCATCTGACAAATGTAATCACTTGTTTGGCTTTCCTTTAGGCCCAAGTTCAGTCTTCATTTGTGGTGTGGTAGCTAAAATACAAAATAAAGAAACCCTTTATTCTTTTTGAGTGACATATGAGTATAGCAAAAAAAAATTTTTTCTTTTAAATAGTGCTTCTTCGGGCGGAGGAGGAAGTAGGGGTGCACCTCAGCACTATCCCAAGACTGCTGGCAACAGGTATGGTAAACATGTAAAAACAATGAGTTTTATGAATAGTGGATTTAAAAGGTTTTCCCACACAAGACAGTATAGTTGTGGCCATAGATATCAGGAATCCTAGACTTAAGAGGCAGTTTTTTGCTAGATATCCAAAATATAAAATATGAACTCTTGGTTATTCCTTAGCTATATGATCTAATATAAGTTGGGGCCCTCGAATTCTTACTATTTTCCTCTTATTCTTGGGGTTATTTTCACTGATTATGTTTCTGAAATCAGTTATCTCTACTAATTGGTATTAGTAAAGTGTGCATGCAGCATGGTCATAGGACATTAGAAAGTGTTGATTCTCAAGATGTCTCTGTACCCACAGCATTGGCATCACATGGGAATATTTACTAGAAATGCAAATTCTCAAGCCCCACCCCAAACCTAGTAAAGCAGAAACTGGGGGTGGGCCCAGCAGTCTGTTTTAGCAAGCCTTTCAGGTGATTCTGATACACACTACTGTTTATAATCAGCGAGTTCCTGGGGAAAACCCCAGGGCAAAACGCTCAGAAATGGATTCCTGCACGAAGCACTAGACGAGATGACAACTCCGCAGCAAACAACTCCGCAAATGAAAAAGAACGACATGATGCAATCTTCAGGAAAGTAAGAGGGTAAGTTTCAAAGACTGTTTTACTAAAATGAGGAAAGAAATATGAATTAGCTATATTTCTCTAGTCTAAGAATTATCTTAAAATGGAAGAGCTGCACATCAATGTTTTGGGGCTTACAGTTGCTTTCAGCCATTCAGTTATAATCCGTAAGCCTATTGTACTGGCACTTCACTTGGCTTGGTATCTAACCCGACAAAGCATGGGATATAATGGTCTAGTCTTGATAATGTGGCACTCTGAGCTTGAAAGAGTGAGAAAGGTTTCTTGTCAAACAGCTGTGTACTCCAGTCTGGAACAGGTGTTATCAAAATAATAGGTTTATTTCAGCATCATTTTGGTTAGATGAGTGAGAAGACATGTCTTGATATTAAAGGTAGCAAGTAGAAGAAAAAAATCAACAAAATTTAAGAGCTGTTTTTCAACTCAATTTTGTGTATTGTCTGACACTTAAAATGGGATCCCTTTTTCCCCAGCATACTAAATAAGCTTACTCCTGAGAAGTTTGACAAGCTATGCCTTGAGCTCCTCAATGTGGGTGTAGAGTCTAAACTCATCCTTAAAGGGGTCATACTGCTGGTAAGTTTTAAATGTTGGCTTAACTCAAAGGGGGAGGAAACTAACAAACTCTAATTTTGTTTTTTAACACTTCCACTATTGCTTAAAACCTTGAAATGTGAGCTAGATATATGTCTATATTTTTAAATACTGATAGTGATAAAAATAACACCACTAACTTTTAATAGCATCAGATTTAAGAGGTGAATTTTAAGTTCATACTATACTTGAAAAGTTAAATGGGGACTAAGAGCAAACTATTGGTTTTCCTTTTGTAGAGAACACCATATTTTGGTCTTGGAAAGGAATTGTATGATAGTTGCTAAAAGATTCCAGTGTCTTTAAAGTTTTGCTCTCCAAGATGTTTTCTAACACCTTCGGGAAGGACGTTGAATAGATCTGTATAACTGGACATTTTTGGTATACTATAATGGCTAGTTGTATTTTTCCAGTCTGTGCACTAAGCACTTAACCTGCATTAATTACCAAAATTAGTTTATACAATATACACCTGAAGACTACAAGAAAGTGTTAAGTTACACAGGAAGGATTCTTTGAAAAAAATTTTTATATTTTTAAAAAATGACATTTTTCTGTAGATTGTGGACAAAGCCCTAGAAGAGCCAAAGTATAGCTCACTGTATGCTCAGCTATGTCTGCGATTGGCAGAAGATGCACCAAACTTTGATGGCCCAGCAGCAGAGGGTCAACCAGGACAGAAGCAAAGCACAGTAAGTGGTAGTTTTTGTTTTCTTATTTTATTTATTTTTATACCTATTCTGTATTGTTCACTTGTTTTAAAGTTGCTTTGAAAGAATAAAGTTTGACAAATGTCTTTTTGTCTTTTGTTTGCAGACATTCAGACGCCTCCTAATTTCCAAATTACAAGATGAATTTGAAAACCGAACCAGAAATGTTGATGGTAAGACTTTATATTTGATACTAAATAGTACTGTGTGTTTTCAGCTAAATTCTGAATGTTGACTTTGGTTTTTTTTTCCCCCCAAGTCTATGATAAGCGTGAAAATCCCCTCCTCCCCGAGGAGGAGGAACAGAGAGCCATTGCTAAGATCAAGATGTTGGGGAACATCAAATTCATTGGAGAACTTGGCAAGCTTGATCTTATTCATGAATCTATCCTTCATAAGTGCATCAAAACAGTAAGTATGACTGAGCATTTAGACTTAGATGAATGTAATCAATGGGTACATCATTGAGGGAAATGAGTCGGTTATTCACCTGAGTGGGTGTTGGCCAGTGGTCAGCAAAACTTAAACGTTGTAGAACAGTATCTAATATGGAAGTATGCAGTGTATTTTACAAAGTAAGGATAGAACTGATTATACCTATGTTGAAATTGCTAAGTTTGGAGGGATTTTTTTATGGTAGAAAGCACCATACTAGATGCTTTGGGAACTATGAGTGAATGCAGATGTAAAGGAAAAGTACTGCATCTAAACCAGAGTAACTCTGAAATATTGTCAGCACCTGGTATTTTGTTCTTTTGATAGCTTTTGGAAAAGAAGAAGAGAGTTCAACTCAAAGATATGGGAGAGGATTTGGAGTGCCTCTGTCAGATAATGAGGACAGTGGGACCTAGATTAGACCATGAACGAGCCAAGGTATGTATGTTGTAGAGGAAGCTATGTAAGCAATTTGTCTTAACTTTATATAAAAAAGCAACTTATTTTTGTGATACAGGGGATTGCTATATTTAGTCATTAACCTTGGTTTTAATCTAGAAGTCTTAAAAGCCTTAAATTTATACTTTTGCTTTAGCTCTTGCAGTTAATGTATTTTTCTCTCTTATTAGTCCTTAATGGATCAGTACTTTGCCCGAATGTGCTCCTTGATGTTAAGTAAGGAATTGCCAGCGAGGATTCGTTTCCTGCTGCAGGTAAAACTCATTTCTTTAAATGTGTTGGTAAACTGAGTTTTTTGTTTAGGAGTATTAAATTTAATTAAGGAGTATTAAATGTAAATAAAATTTACATTATTTTTTAAATTAAAGGATACCGTAGAGTTGCGAGAACACCACTGGGTTCCTCGTAAGGCTTTTCTTGACAATGGACCAAAGACGATCAATCAAATCCGTCAAGATGCAGTAAAAGTAAGTTTTTTTTTTTTTTAAACAAGTGTTAGAGTAGCACAGGGTCCCCTCTCCCTCCCTTAACACTTTAAGACTATCTCATCTTAGTGATGAAGCTTAAACATTTTTAGTGTCTTGTATGCTATTTTTGGAAGAAGTTATTTACAGAAATAAGTCCATTGTAGAAATTTTTTGTTTTCCTGGTATATGAATTTTAGTTTTAAGTAAAATAGTATACAGAGACAAAAGTTCTTGTTCATTTCTAAAGGATCTAGGAGTGTTTATTCCTGCTCCTATGGCTCAAGGGATGAGAAGTGACTTCTTTCTGGAGGGGCCATTCATGCCACCCAGGATGAAAATGGATAGGGACCCACTTGGAGGACTTGCTGATATGTTTGGACAAATGCCAGGTAATTTTGAACAAAGTGGTGGTCTGTTCAAACTAAAAAAATCAGTTTAGATTTTTAATTAGTAGAGTTTAAGAGTTGTCCATGTATTTTAAGGTAGCGGAATTGGTACTGGTCCAGGAGTTATCCAGGATAGATTTTCACCCACCATGGGACGTCATCGTTCAAATCAACTCTTCAATGGCCATGGGGGACACATCATGCCTCCCACACAATCGCAGTTTGGAGAGATGGGAGGCAAGTTTATGAAAAGCCAGGTAAAAAAACATATAAAAGTGTTCAGGCAACAGGTGTTAAATTCTGCAATGTATGTGATTTCATTTCCTTTTTTAAAAAATACGACTATTTTAGGGTTTTTTTTTTTTCGTAAACCACATTTACATTTGTTTTTAGTTATTTCAAACAGAATTGCTTATCCTTAAGATTAGTAAAGTATTAGTAAAATCACATCACTTTATTTGACAGGTTAGATTTTTATTCTTCTCTGTTTCATCTTTTACTTTCTCTGGGCAATTCATTTGAACTTTCCTTATGGCTTGGCTCATCCCTTTGGTACTTGATTACCATAATTTGTGGACCCCCTTTTTATCTAGACTTTCTTTCTCCCTTTCTGAAATAGGGGCTAAGCCAGCTCTACCATAACCAGAGTCAGGGACTCTTATCCCAGCTGCAAGGACAGTCGAAGGATATGCCACCTCGGTTTTCTAAGAAAGGACAGCTTAATGCAGATGAGGTACATTTGCCTATGTTATTTATATACCATAGTTTGTCAATTCGGAAATTTATTGCCCGATGATTATAAAAAGACGCATTATTAAGAGGACTAATGCTGGAATTCTTCACCCTTTTCTCTCTTTTCTATACTACTTTTTCTTGCTTTGGATGTCCAGTGTCCTATGAGCGAAGATTATGAGATATGAGGGCAAATCTCTTAAAGTCTTTATTAGTTAGAGCAAGGAAAATGGTTGTCAAGATATTGTTGCAGTTTCCCTGTAAGTAAGATGATTTAACTAAGACATTTTCTAAACTCTAAATTTGCTTTTTATTTGAATATTTTAATCATGCTGATCCTAGAATTCTCATAAATGCAAGATTTATAACAGTTATCTTGTGGATCAGATCTTTGATTTTCTTGGCAGAAATTACACCTATAAACTTTGTTAGTTTCTAGAGAAACTTATCCCCTAGATTCTATCATGTTGTATAGAATTTTAGGATGTTAGAATGTTACATTTAAAATGTTAGCCAATTGCACACTGTTAATTTGGATATCTGTTATGATTTGTTTTCAATTCCAGATTAGTCTGAGGCCTGCTCAGTCGTTCCTAATGAATAAAAATCAAGTGCCAAAGCTTCAGCCCCAGATAACTATGATTCCTCCTAGTGCACAACCACCACGCACTCAAACACCACCACTGGGACAGGTATGGACCATCTTATGACATTTTCTGTTGTTTCCAGTATGTTCTAAAGATGTGTATATATGTGAAGACTTTGGTGTTCTCTTCCCTCTAACCTCACATGCTGCTTTTAAAAAAAATTAATAACCATATCTGTAATGTTGCTTATTTTTAGACACCTCAGCTTGGTCTCAAAACTAATCCACCACTTATCCAGGAAAAGCCTGCCAAGACCAGCAAAAAGCCACCACCATCAAAGGAAGAACTACTTAAACTCACTGTAAGTTTTAAATAATTCCATTTTAGTCTCTAATTTTTAGAATATATTTGGGATAGAGAAAACACTAAAGATAACTTGGACTGTGTTCTTTGCAGGAAACTGTCATGACTGAGTACCTGAATAGTGGCAATGCAAATGAGGCTGTCAATGGTGTAAGAGAAATGAGGGCTCCTAAACACTTCCTACCTGAGATGTTAAGCAAAGTAATCATCTTGTCACTAGATAGAAGTGATGAAGATAAAGAAAAAGCAAGTTCTTTGATCAGTTTACTCAAACAGGAAGGGATAGCCACAAGCGACAACTTCATGCAGGTAGCATATTTTCCTGATTCTGTGATAAGAACTCTTACCACTCAAATTTGAAAACTAATGAATTGTTGTCTATTTTTTCTAAGGCTTTCCTGAATGTATTGGACCAGTGCCCCAAACTAGAGGTTGACATCCCCTTGGTGAAATCATATTTAGCACAGTTTGCAGCTCGTGCCATCATTTCAGAGCTGGTGAGCATTTCAGAACTAGCTCAACCACTGGAAAGTGGCACCCATTTTCCTCTCTTCTTATTGTGTCTTCAGCAATTGGCTAAATTACAAGATCGAGAATGGTTAACAGAACTTTTTCAACAAAGCAAGGTCAATATGCAAAAAATGCTCCCAGGTAAGAGAATGCTGATTTGTTTCTTTTATTCTATATCTAGAGATTTCTAGTACTTTGGATTTAAAATTGGTCAAGCTGATTATCCTGTCCAGATAATGATAAACATTACCATAGATAGATGCTACCACTTTATGAGATTGTTGTGATTTAATTATTATTTGATCCTTATGTTGAGAACTTTCATTTGCTGGGTTGGTTCTTTATTCTTTTACATAAATCTTGTATATACTTGGGAAATCATTCATAAAGCTCTGCTCTCTAGACAGGCCAGCTGGGTAAACTGAACTGTTTGATAATGCAAAAATGGTTTTGTCTCTTCAGAAATTGATCAGAATAAGGACCGCATGTTGGAGATTTTGGAAGGAAAGGGACTGAGTTTCTTATTCCCACTCCTCAAATTGGAGAAGGAACTGTTGAAGCAAATAAAGTTGGATCCATCCCCTCAAACCATATATAAATGGATTAAAGATAACATCTCTCCCAAACTTCATGTAGATAAAGGATTTGTGAACATCTTAATGACTAGGTAATATGAATGATATACCTAAAGTTGTGTTTTATTTATAAGAAAATAAGTCTACATGGCCAGAGGACTAAGAGTTGTCTGTTTCTTGAGCTAGAAAACTCACTTTTGGGTTCTAACAAGGCTTCTTTCTGTCCAGCTTCTTACAGTATATTTCTAGTGAAGTAAACCCACCCAGCGATGAAACAGATTCTTCCTCTGCTCCTTCCAAAGAACAGTTAGAGCAGGAAAAACAACTGCTTCTTTCTTTCAAGCCAGTAATGCAGAAATTTCTTCACGATCATGTTGATCTACAAGTCAGTGCCCTGTATGCTCTTCAGGTGCACTGCTACAACAGCAACTTCCCAAAAGGTGAGAGCACCATTACCTAAGAAAGATGAGTGTGGAACAGTTCAATAGCACACTAAATAATGGGATTACATTTTGGTTTTTAGGCATGTTACTCCGCTTTTTTGTGCACTTCTATGACATGGAAATTATTGAAGAAGAAGCTTTCTTGGCTTGGAAAGAAGATATAACCCAGGAGTTTCCAGGGAAAGGCAAGGCTTTGTTCCAGGTAAATCTTACGTAAAACATTTGGTCTGCTTATTTCAATTTGTTTATTACTTCAAATGAAAAGCCTTCTTTTTAAAGGCTCTGAAATAAGGTGAGATAATCCTAATTAGTAGTTTGTCTTCACCTATATATCATTCTACTCTGAAACTATGGGTAATTAAAGTAGGCATTTAGCAGCAAAATGTAATGCTATGAAATAGTCATGTTGCATTTCTGGTGGTAAGATGTTAAATTAGTGGTAGCAAACATTTCTTAGGAATAAAGCTACTTAGGTAGATTGGGTGATTGTGCATATTTGGATTTAAGCTTTTTTAAAAACTTTAGTAAAGAGATTGCTTCTAATTTCTCACAGTTTAATTTTCTATCATGAACTGGAATTAAAGCCTTAGGGGGAAAGAACATATATCTGTGCATTCTAAAATCAGTGTGTATTAGTCACCTGAGGAGTAGTTTAAAAGTAAAAAAGTTGGTTCTAGGCCTGATTGCAAAGATTCTGATTTAGTAGGCATGTGGTACACATTCCAGATGATTCTCCTAAGATTTCCAAAGGAACCAGGCTTTGAGAAACATGGTCTAAATCGTCTTACCTTTACTTCTGTGGTATACAGACTAGGTTCATGAGGGTCATCTTTGCAGCATTTATCTTTAGCCCTGTCCTTGAGAAATCGGGTCTAGTGGTTTTGAGGTGGGACTGGAAATAATGCTTTTTGGAAATACATACACACACACACTTGCTAGTAACATACTTAGGCTTGAAGGAGCCATTGTCCCAGACTAAAATAATTCTGAAATGTACCTGGAGAAGTGTTGAAGAATGAAACAAGCTAATTGGCCATAAACAGCTTTAATGTTATCCCAAATTCAAATAAACCATTCTTTGTGTAACTCTACATTTGCATCATGTTCTGAGGTTGTTAAAAATTATGTGGTACAACTTAAAACTTTTGTCCTTGGGATGGGATTCTAGTTATATCAAGCCCAAAACTTGAGTTTCATTTTCTGTTAAGTACTACTTATTTTAAGTTAACAAATCTAATTCACAGGTGAATCAGTGGCTAACCTGGCTAGAAACTGCTGAAGAAGAAGAATCAGAGGAAGAAGCTGACTAAAGAACCAGCCAAAGCCTTAAATTGTGCAAAACATACTGTTGCTATGATGTAACTGCATTTGACCTAACCACTGCGAAAATTCATTCCGCTGTAATGTTTTCACGATATTTAAAGCAGAAGCACGTCAGTTAGGATTTCCTTCTGCATAAGGTTTTTTTGTAGTGTAATGTCTTAATCATAGTCTACCATCAAATATTTTAGGAGTATCTTTAATGTTTAGATAGTATATTAGCAGCATGCAATAATTACATCATAAGTTCTCAAGCAGAGGCAGTCTATTGCAAGGACCTTCTTTGCTGCCAGTTATCATAGGCTGTTTTAAGTTAGAAAACTGAATAGCAACACTGAATACTGTAGAAATGCACTTTGCTCAGTAATACTTGAGTTGTTGCAATATTTGATTATCCATTTGGTTGTTACAGAAAAAAATTCTTAACTGTAATTGATGGTTGTTGCCGTAATAGTATATTGCCTGTATTTCTACCTCTAGTAATGGGCTTTATGTGCTAGATTTTAATATCCTTGAGCCTGGGCAAGTGCACAAGTCTTTTTAAAAAGAAACATGGTTTACTTGCACAAAACTGATCAGTTTTGAGAGATCGTTAATGCCCTTGAAGTGGTTTTTGTGGGTGTGAAACAAATGGTGAGAATTTGAATTGGTCCCTCTTATTATAGTATTGAAATTAAGTCTACTTAATTTATCAAGTCATGTTCATGCCCTGATTTTATATACTTGTATCTATCAATAAACATTGTGATACTTGATGTAATTGTATGTGACTTCTCCACAATTCATGGAGAATTACTAGTTTTTGTCTTGAGCTATAGGAAATCAATCTTAGTTTGAAGATTTTAAGACTTTTAAATTCTTAAATTTCCTTTTCATCACATAAGATGTAAGGTTATTCCTTGGGTTAGTGGAAGTAAACAGTTTAAATAATTTCTATAATCTACAAAGATAAGTCTCATGAATTTGGAGCAACATTGTATAGCAACAAAAACTTGGTGACATTTGTCTTTGTATCATACTAAAATACGGGGTGATCTCTAGACAAGCATAGCCATCTTGTAGGAATCATTCTCAATAGCTCCCCCTGAATTTCCAGGGAGATGCCTGTTCCCTCTCAAGAAGTACTGGTGTCCCAGTAAAATGATTTGGATTCTTGAACCAACTAAAGCTCTGTATGGAGGCAAATATATTTTCAGAAGCCACTTAAAGGGAATGTGTACCCCAACCCCTTCCTGACTAGATGTACCCCCTAGAATATCTTGATGATCCTAGGTTTACTTAGCTAACATTGGTTTGGGTAGGGGCTCTTGAGAAAAGTGTGCTACTGGAGTCCAGGTTGATGTCTGTTCTTGGTGGCTAGGGGCAGCCCTCAGGCAGACAATTACACTGCTGATCCTGATAGGACTTCTATTTTTGAGGCAGGGTCTTGCTCTGTTGCCTGGACTAGAATGAAGTGGCATCATCATAGCTTACTGCAACCTCAAATTCCTGGGTCCAAGTGACCCTCCTGCTTCAGCCTCCCAGGTAGCTGGGACTACAGGTGTGTGCCACCACTCCTGTCTTTTATTTTTTGTAGAGGTGAGTTCTTGCTGTGTTGCCCAGGCTGGTCTCAAATCCCTGGCCTCAGGTGATCAATCCTCCTGCTTCAGCCTCCCAAAGTGCTGGGATTATAGGCATGAGCCACCCTGGCTGGCCCTGATAGAACCTTTGATGCCAGAAGAGGGCTCTGCCTGCTCATGCTCCAAGAAGGGGGGGAGGGGTCCATAAAACTAGTATTTTTGTATCCTATTTGAGTCAGAAAAGCTGACACATTTTCTGTTCACTGAAACCACTGTTGGTGGATATCTCAAGTACACCCAAATTAAGGCTAAGCAGAGGCTTGTATAAAACTAATAGAGAATTCAGGAGACTGACTATAAAAGTTCCTGACCCTCTGCCCAACCCTTCCCACTAAGAAGGGGAAACTTTTAACCTAGGAAAGGTAGCAGCATGTGGTCAGGGGGGTGATCAGCCATTGTGATTTAGCTTGCAGCTGGAATTTTCCCAATTCAGCCAGGGTATCGGGCTTTAGGAAGTCTTAGAACTAAATCCTGGTGTGTAGTGGTTTGTCACTGTTAAAAGAAATGCTTTCATTCTCCCACATAAAGAATCAAAATACTTAAGTAAGCCCTAGAGAAGATAAAATCTCATTCCAAAAACAGAACAGTGTTTTATAACCTACCATATTACGGAACAACAGTATTGAGATGTAATTGGCATGCACCCTTCATCACTGACTTGTAGTGATCTTAGGCATCAGCATTTAAATAGCAACTTATCTTAAAAATAAGATAGCACGTCTTTACTACCCCAAGTTTCTTTCCTTCATACACAGCAAAACTGAAAGAGTTGTTATGTTCACTTCACCAACTTTTTCCCATTTTCCAATCTTAGTAACCCTACTCCCCTACGTTAAAACTTTTCTCAAAGCCACCAATAACTCCATTGCCATAGCCAGTAGTTTTGACCATCCTGTAGGCAGCATTTGAGTTAATCATTCCTTGAGACTGTGCACTTGTTTCCAGGACACCTCACTCTCTTCTGCCTTAATGACTTCCTTCTTGGTCTCCAATTGGAAATGCCTGACCTCAGAAAACAAAAACACTGTTTCAGCTGCTGTCAAACTCTACACTCTATCATCAATCCTGTTGACTCTGTATTTCAAACATTTTGGAAATTGGACAACTCCCCACCTCCAACTGCTTTCCTGCTTAGCCCTTACTCCCCATTTGGTCTCAACACAGCACCACTCAGCTCAAAACCCACCAAATGGCTTTCTACCTAGTTAGATGTTTAAGTCAAAATACTAAATTTGGGCCAGGCACGGTGGCTCACGCCTGTAACCCCAGCACTCTGGGAGACTGAGGTGGGTGGATTGTTTGAGACCAGCCCAAGCAAGACCTCGTCTCTGCTAAAAATAGAAATTATAAACTAAAAAATATATATAGAAAAAGTTAGCTGGGCATGGTGGCGTGTGCCTGTAGTCCTAGCTAATCGGGAGGCTGAGGCAGAAAGAAGGCTCGCTTGAGCCCAGGAGTCAGGTTGCTGTGAGCTAGGCTGACGCCATGGCACTCAACCTGGGCAACAAAGTGAGACTCTGTCTCAAAAAAAAAAAAAAAAAATACTAAATTTGGTCTTTATGGCCCATCTGATCTAGTCTCCCACCTCTGCTCTACACTCCATTCTCTGATCTAATTTCATCCCGCTGCCCTTGCTTGTTCTGCTCCCACCACACTGGCCACCTTGCTGTTCTGGGATATGCCAAGCATCCTCTTACCTCTTACCTTGAGGTAAGTGTTCCCTCACCCCACCGCCCACCCATGGATGACTGGCTTGTTTTCCTGCCTCAGGTCTTCGCTGAAATGTCTCTTTTATTAGTGAAGTCCTTATTGTCTACCCTGTTTAAAAATATAACCCTAAATGCATACTCCCTATTCCTTTTTCCTGCTTTTTTAGTCTCCTTGTCAACCATTTCATGACATTGCATATTCACACCTGACATCTCCAGAATGTGAAGAGATAAAGTGTGTGTGTTGTCCACGGCTATACCCCAGCACCCAGAACAGTCCCTAGCACTCGTGAGCATGCATACGTGTTCAACCAAATCATGAGTTAACAAAATTACCCTATATGGTAGGACGTGGACAAAGAAGGAGGTAGTGGAAAGAATTCAGACTCTGTTCCAGATAGATAACAGAGTTAATCTCTACCAGCAGTGTGGTCTTAGGCAAGACTTTTCTCTGAGTCTTGATTTCTTTTGAAAATGGGGCTAATACTTCAAGATTGCTATGAGAGCTAAATAAGGTAATATGTGAAAGTCACTAGCAGAGAGTCCTTCAATGAATATGAACTTCTTACCTTCTCAGGAGCTTTTCCAAGATTCCTTCCCAGGAGAACATCTACCCTCTGAGTGCTCAAGATCACCAGCTAAATCTACTGGATAGATCAAAAGCATTCACCAGTTGACTACTCCATCTTTCCTATTTCACTTGTTTTTCTCTCAGGCTTCTCCTTAGTCTCCTTTTAAGGTCTTCTTTTGTAGCCTGGTCCCTGAATGTTGCTGTTCCACTTTCCTCCCAAAACACTCATTCCTGCAGCTCCAGTTACCAGCTATGTGCTAATGACATCTATATCTTGAGTCCAAACCTCTTTCTAGAATGTCAAACTCACCCAGCTAGCCCCTGGGCCTTTTAAATGAATGTGCCACAAGCACTTCAAACAACATCCGTCACTAAACTCTTTCCCCCAAACCTCCTTTCCTAACCCTTTGGGTGATACCCCCATCCAAGCCCAAAATACGAGTCATCCTTGACTCTTGCTTCTCCCTCTCAACCAACCCCCACATTCTACCCATCCTGCCCCCATTGTAGCTATTGAAGCTATTTACTTCTCTTCATATCTCTCCACCTCCACCACCTCATCCAAACAGCATTGTTTCATGCTTCAACTATTGCAATAGCCCCCCAAAGTTTTCCCCTCCTCTCACCTAGCCCTTCTTTCAGTCCATTCTCCACATGGCAGTTCAAGTGATCTTTCTTTTTTTTTGAGACAGTCTTGCTTTGTTGCCCAGGCTAGAGTGAGTGCCATGGCGTCAGCCTAGCTCACAGCAACCTCAAACTCCTGGACTCAAGCGATCCTACTGCCTCAGGCTCCCGAGTAGCTGGGACTACAGGCATGCGCCACCATGCCCAGCTAGTTTTTTTTTTTTTTTTTTGAGACAGAGTCTCGCTTTCTTGCCTAGGCTAGAGTGAGTGCCGTGGCGTCAGCCTAGCTCACAGCAACCTCAAACTCCTGGGCTCAAGCGATCCTCCTGCCTCAGCCTCCCGAGTAGCTGGGACTACAGGCACAAGCCACCATGCCCGGCTGATTTTTATATATATATATTAGTTGGCCAATTAATTTCTTTCTATTTATAGTAGAGACGGGGTCTCACTCTTGCTCAGGCTGGTTTTGAACTCCTGACCTTGAGCAATCCGCCCGCCTCGGCCTCTCAGAGTGCTAGGATTACAGGCGTGAGCCACCGCGCCCGGCCACCAGCTAGTTTTTTCTATATATTTTAGTTGGCCAATTAATTTCTTTCTATTTTTTAATAGTAGAGACAGGGTCTCACTCAGGCTGGTTTCGAACTCCTGACCTTGAGCAATCCGCCCGCCTCAGCCTCCCAGAGTGCTAGGATTACAGGCGTGAGCCACCGCGCCCGGCCTCAAGTGATCTTTCTTAAAAGTCTGTTTCTTCCTCCACCCTTCAGTGGCACTCAATTTCCTCAGAATAAAGTCCCGGCTGGTGCGATGGCTCACGCCTGTAATCCTAACACACTAGGAGGCCGAGGCGGGCAGATCGCTGGAGGTCAGGAGTTTGAAACCAGCACTGAGCAAGAGTGAGACCCCGTCTCTACTAAAAATAGAAAGAAATTAATTGGCCAACTAACAATACATAGAAAAAATTAGCTGGGCATGGTGGCGCATGCCTGTAGTCCCAGTTACTTGGGAGGCTGAAGCAGAAGGATTGCTTGAGCCCAGGGGTTTGAGGTTGCTGTGAGCTAGGCTGACGCCATGGCACTCTAGCCCAGGCAACAGAGTGAGACTCTGTCAATAAATAAATAAATAAATAATAAATAAATAAATAAATAAATAAATAAATAAATCCAAATTCCTAATCATGGCCCCGAGTCTGTTTGCCCTCTCACCTTTCTCTTCATCTCCTTGTCTCTGGGCCTTTGCACATGCTAATTCCTCTGCCTGGAACATTTCTGTCCTGCTATTCCCACCTCTTCATCTCCCTTCATCTTGCTAATCCTTCAGGTGTTAGCATAAATGTCCCACTCTTGGGAAGCTTGCCTTCCTCTGCCAAGACTGAGTTCAGAGTTTGTACCAATCAGCGTTCTTGGTTGCAAAGAAGGGAAACATGATTTGGACAAACTAGATAGAAAGGAAGTACATTGGAACTCCTCTTAAGGGACCTATAGGAAGGAAACCTGGAGAACCAGGCTTAGAAATGAACAGGGACTAAGAAGCTGGGCAGCCTGAGCCACAGAGCTACCCTGGCTAGGGCAGTGCTAACCAACTCAGCATGTCAGATCCTGGAACATCCCCTGCCAGTGTCTGAACAAATCCCCAGTGATGCCAGGTCCAGGTTCAGAGCCCCAGGGAGAAGCCCACAGTGGACAGAACTTGGATCATGCATTCACCCCTCGCTGCCTTGGCAGGATCTGGCCTTTGGGGCCCCTGTTGTGTCAAGCAAGCCCTGACTACCTCCAAGGCTTACAATGTAGGAGAAAATTTGAGTTTTTCAAGGTATTTGGGTATATAGACCCCAGAAGATAATTTTCCACTGTGAGGTCCCTTTGCATCCACTTTCCCATCTCTGCACTTACTTACTGCATGCCTTTCCACTGTCCTGAGAAGAGCTCCAGGAGAGTGAAGAGCTTGTCTCTCTTAGTCATTGCTCTATTCCCATGAGGGATCAATAAATAGGTAGTGAATGCAACAATGAATCCAGATTTTGTGGAACCTGAATTTTATACAGTTGCATGGAACACACAATTAGGTTCAGGGGCCAGAAAGAGTCCTATGTAAGAGGGTGGCCTTGAAGCAAACTTCATTGACTTTGTGGTAGCTCTGAATGAGTTAATATAGTTGATACAGTCAGTTGTAATAATTTTTGTACATACCTGCCCCAGCCCACTAGACAGAAACTAAAGACAGGGTCATTATCAATGAATGCTTGTTGAAATGACTTGAATGTTTCTTCTCATTTGTGGCCGCCTCTGCCTTACCATTTCCCAGAGCTTCCAGTCCCATCGCAATGCACCCAGTTCCCCACGCTGAATTAACGTGTTCAGTGCGCATTCACAAGTGAGCACCTCCGCTGTGCCGCCTGCGCTAGGGGCTGGGGACACAGCGGTGAGACTCAGTCTCTTCCCTCAGTGGGAAGGCAGGCACCAGAACGGCCCAGATGGCAACAGGGACAAGGTGCTGGGGCCACACGGAGATGTGACAAGGTGTCATGTGAACTGAAAGAGAGCAGGGAAAATCCTAGAGAAGCTGAACCCTGCAGGAAAGGCGGTTTTCCCTGCAAACGTGCCAGGGAGGACTTTCCAGTCTTTCTTTCCTGCGTCTGCCGACTTGGCCTTCCTCCTGGCTCCGCAGAGCCCCACCACCACCACTCTGCACCAGCACAGATTCCATCCGACACCTCTGAGCGAGGGGGCAGTGTGGGCCGCTGTGGCTCTCAGCTGTCCAGTGGGGCCAGGAGGACAGAGGTTTACAAAGTCGTGCCCACTTGTCTCACTAGCTTGAGAGAGAATTTTGCCAGCAGAATCCTCCAAGGGAAAGCAAGGGCTCCGGACAAGGAGACACCTGAGCACAGAGCGGGGAGCGGCAGACGCAGGACACAGGAGGTAGTGCAGGGGGATGGGCTACATCAGCGCCCTCTGCCGGGCCCCCAGGAGGCCACCGCTGGCAGGCAGGGTGCAAGGCTCCTGTCCTGCACACTCTGAGGGGAGGCAAGCCCAAGACCCCCTGGTCACGCTCACGGAGAGGGGAGAGTGGGAATCCTGCCCTCGGGGCTCGGTCTCCTGCCCACGGCGGACGACACAACGATGCAACTGATAAGCAGTGAGTCCTCCAGGGCTGCCCAGGTCAGCGGTGGAACGCGCAGAGTCACGAGCCAGAGCCCAAACCCCAGCTTCCCCGTTACCAGTGCTGGGAGTTCAGGCCAATCTCTTCACCCCTCTGGGCTTCCTTTGACTTACCTGATCCTCGGTCTGCCCACCTCCTCGCGTCCCTGCGAGGGCCAGACACACGGGTGCTGGGAAGCAGCTCGGGACAGCTGTGGGACTGTCACAAGTCCAGTGTCGCACAGATGCGTGTTGACAACCTGCCACGTGCCAGGCGCTGCGCCGGTGCTAGAGATGGAACAGCAAGGAGACAAAGTCTGCTTTTGGAGCAAACATTCTGAGTGACAGGACAGAGAGACAACAAATACAGAGTCAGGTAGTAGAAAATGCTGTAAGTAGAGAAAAAAAACCAGAGTGAGGGACAGGGAGTGATGGTACTGCACCTGGCGTAGGGTGTGCGGGGACGGCCTATGAGGAAGTGGCCTCCAGCGAAGAGCTAAGGGAAGCGAGCCGCGGACGTGCAGCTTGGAGGAAGAGCGCGCCAGGCAGAGGGGAGCCGAGCCCAAAGCCCTGGGGAGGGACAGTCCGAAGGCCAGTGTGGCCCCACAGAGAGGGGCTGACACAGAGAACTAGTCAGACCGAGTAAGGACTTTGGCTTTTATGCTGAGGGGATGGGCTGTCTTTGGAGGATTACTATTATTATTTGTTGGCATTAATCCCTCATTAAGACTACCCGATGCCTGCACCGTGTTCTGTGCTGCGGCATATTATTGTGATTATTCTAGATAATGTTTATAGAGGATTAAGTATCAATATACGCCAGGCTGGACTAGGCGTATTAATCACCCCTGTTAATCTTCCCAACGTCCTTGAGACAGGTACTTCACTATCGCCATTTTACTGACGGGAAAACTGAGGCTCGGAGAAGTTAAACGCTTTGCCCAAGACCATTCATTCATTTGGCAGGTGCTTATAAGCACCTTCTGCCTGCTCTTTTTGAAGTGCTAGGTCTCGGCCACGCGAGGTGGCTCACGCCTGTAATCCTAGCACTCTGGGAGGCCGAGGCGGGCAGATTGCTCGAGGTCAGAAGTTCAAAACCAGCCTGAGCAAGAGCGAGACCCTGTCTCTACTATAAATAGAAAGAAATTAATTGCCCAACTAATATATATAGAAAAAATTAGCCAGGCATGGTGGCCCATGCCTGTAGTCCCAGCTACTCGGGAGGCTGAGGCAGGAGGATCACTTGAGCCCAGGAGTTTGAGGTTGCTGTGAGCTAAGCTGATGCCACAGCACCCACTCTAGCCTGGGCAACAAAGCAAAGACTCTGTCTCAAAAAAAATAAATAAATAAAAATAAATTAAAAAATGAAGTGCTAGGTCTCACGTCTATTACAGCACGGGGTGGTGATTCCAACCTGCTCTGTAACTCAAGAGTGGGTGCTCATAACCAATGCACCAAAGAACATGTTGAGGGGGACAGAAAAAGAGCATAGAAAGTCAAGGACCCATCCCAGAGGCCGTGAGCTCCTTGTGCCTGGAAGTGTGTGCCCAGAGCTGGATGAGCACACGGAGGGCCAGAGCCTCTGAGGGTTGGGCTGCAGGACGTGAGGTGAGGGATAACCAGCCCCCAAATCCCTCTGTTATGGGCTACATTTTTGTCTTTCCCCTCACTCCCTCCTGAACTGCCCTCCACCCCGACCTTCTCCAAAAGATATGCTGAAGTCCTAACTGCAGGTAACTGTGAATGTGACCTTATTTGGAAATAGGGTATTTGCAGATGTAATCAAGTTGAGACAGTCATTAGGGTGGCCCTGATCCAATACAATGGTGTCCTTATAAGAAGAGGAGAAGAGACACATGGACACCCAGGGAGAATGCCATTTGATGACAAAGACAGAGACTGTCATCAAATTACCTCTCGGGAATGAAGGAGTGGCCTGATATTTTAGCTCTATTTTTTCTTTTTTTTTTGTAAAGAAACATCATCTTTCCTATGTTGTCTTCCAATCCATAAACATGATTTATCTCTTTAAGTCTTCTCTGATGTTGTTCTCATAATTTGTAATTTTTAGGACACATATCTTATATGTATGTTGTTAGGTTTGTTTGTTTGTTTATTATTTTCGAGATGGGTCTTGCTCTGTCACCCAGGCTGGCATGCAGTGGTACGATTATAGCTCCCAGCAGCCTCAAACTCCTGGGCTCAAGCAATCCTCCTGCCTCAGCCTTTCAAGTAGCTGGGTCTGCAGATGTGTGCCACCTCACCCGGCTATTATTTTTAATTGAAACATAATAATTTCTTTACAATTTCAAGAGGTCCTCTCAATTACCTTTTTTTTTTTTTTAAAAAACAATGATACACAATTTGAGGATGACACATTAACCTGACCCCAACCAACACTAGTTTTCAATGTTTGTGGAGACACTCGATGGGCTTGGTGTCAAAGAAATTGAACACAGATTTAATCATTATTCCTGGGGACATGATTGTACTATCTCAAGAGCTGGCAAAAGTTATAAACAAGCATTTTAAAGATTGCTTTAAAAAAGCAGTACATTAATGGGGATGGAAAATACCCACCTCTGTGATGAATGGCAAAGCCAGCTGTCCTGATGTGACACAGACGAGTGCTGGCAGCTCCGGACAGCACTTCTAGCGGCAGCAGAGACTCGATTCCCAAGGCCTGGCTCTCGGCACCATGATGGGCAGGACCGGGGCCCTTCTCTTGAAAACCCTGTTAGATGACTCAGAAAGTGGCTTGAGAGCAAGACGCTGGCCAAAGATTCTGTGATGAATTTGAATAAAATTATTTTATGAAGTGCGAACGGGGAAAGGCACTAGTTCTCGATGTTTTATGTAACATGTGATTTTAAATTAAATTAATAAATTAAATATTGTTAGTAGACATTAAACTACTTCACCTACATCCCCAAAGTAGGTGTTTATCAATTTAAGTTAACAAGAACATTTTTGGCCAGAGAGAGAACCTATGCCGTGTGCTTAGGGTCACGTTGTATAAGGACACCTTATACTCAGGCATATACGGTATTTGGAGCTCAAAACACAACTATTGCTTTGTCTTTGGACACGCTGAGCTGTGACTACCAAGTCACCAAGTCACCAGCAGAACGTGGGCACTGCATTGTCTAACCACACTGCTGCAGAGAGACGACGTCCCTACCAATGTGCCATGGGAGAGGCAAGGTCGCACGCGCAGGCCTCCTGCCCCAGTGCCCATGCGCCAGGGCCCTGGAGAGGGGCACCCCAGCCTCCTGCCCCAGTGCCCATGTGCCAGGGCCCTGGAGAGGGGCACCCCAGCCTCCTGTCCCAGGGGTGATGCCTCTGTTGGAGTCCTTACGCCCCTACCTCATGCCTTCAGGGAAAGAGGCGGGCACCACCGCAGCTGCAGGAGATGGCCTCCCCGACAGCCCCACTCTGCAGCTGGAACTCGTCACCTGTTTTCCCAGCAGGGCCTCACTCCTGCTTCAGCCCACTGGAAGCCCAAGGGGCCCCGGTCATCCACCTGCACCCTCACACCAAACTTCCCCATGCATCTGCTAACCTGTCCCAATTCCCCTACCCGCTGTCCCCCCAAACCTTCCTCCACACTCTCTGGGCCCACAGTCTGTCAACAGCAAACTCTCCACGTCCTCAGTCTCTTCTCTCAACATTCCTGCTGTCCTTGCTCTAAAGGGGGCCTGGCTGTCCCCTGATGTTGTCACTTCCCCTGCTGTCTCCCCCTCATGGCGAATGGCCTTGGTGTGGCCCCTGTCTCCTCTGCTATCCCTGATAGCTAGCAGCTAGCAGTTTTTCTTACCATGTCTCCTTTCTTCCAGAGGCTCAGGTGCTTTGAAGTTTGAGCCATCAGACTTTACTGCCACCTGCTGTGCTCACTTCTCTACTCTCCAAAATAACTTTCACACCTTTTCCTCTCTCCCTAAGCCTCTGACTCCTCCCTCTCCTTCACTTAAGACACCCGTCTCTCCATACCACACCCCTACCTGATGAAATCACCTCATCAGGCCTTTAAGCCCCAGGGAAAAACTGTGGGTGTTCCCCAGCAAGGGCACATCCGGAACATTCTATAGCCTTGCTACTCAAAGTGTAGTCCGTGGACTCATCTCACTGGAGGCTTGTTAGAAATGTAGAATGTCTGATCTCACTCCAATCCCATGGGGTCAGAATCCCTAGGTCATTCATTAGCCCTTAAAACTTGATGACCCCAATATCCAACCTAATCAACCCAGGCCCCTTGCTCAAGCCCACCAAGGATTGTGCTGCCTTCCCAGCCACGGCAACCCGGACCTCAGCTCTGACTTCATTGAGATGCGATCCTAAACCCTGCACGCTCCTACCGTGCAAACTACTGACTTGCCAATAATGGCACTAACACATGACTTCCTTTGACGTGAACAGAGGGACCCAGCTCTTCCCAAAGGCCAAATCCTTTCCTCATGTTCTGACCCAGGTCCCTAACACCAGATATCCACAGGACACTTGTCATCCCACCCCAGGGAATGAGGCCCACTGGCCAGAGCACAGCTGTCACGGGAGCACACTGCCAGCTCATGTGACAGCCTCCTTGAAGAGGGGTTTTCTTTTCCTTTTTTTTTTTTTTTTTTTCTGAGACAGTCTTTCTCTGTTGCCAGGCTAGAGTGCTGTGGTGTCAGCCTAGCTCACAGCAACCTCAAACTCCTGGGCTCAAGCAATCCTGCTGCCTCAGCCTCCTGAGTAGCTGGGACTACAGGCATGTGCCACCATGCCCGGCTAATTTTTTCTATATATTTTTAGTTGTCCGGCTAATTTCCTTCTATTTATAGTAGAGATGGGGTCTCGCTCTTGCTCAGGCTGGTCTTGAACTCCTTGACCTCAAGCCATCCTCCCACCTCAGCCTCCCAGAGCTAGGATTATAGGTGTGAGCCACGACGCCAGGCCCAAAGAAGGGTTTTGAACATGTTCAGCTATTTGCAATGTGAGGTTCCAGAAGGAAGGGTCCCTGAGTCTTCTTCGAGCATCAGAAGCATAGAAACATGAGTTCTACAATTTCTGTGAACCATGAAAAGGAAGGATGTGTATAGTTTCAATGCCAGATAGTTCCGGCTAGAACAAGTAAGAGCATTGCAGGCTGCAGAAGAAAGACTTCAACATCCATTAAACCAACCCCAGAATCTGTCCCTCACATAATTACTCATGGCCAAGGAATATGGTGGTGCTCCCTTCTCCCACCTCCTCAGTCCCTTGCTTTAGCTGCCACTCCAAGCTGGAGGCAGCAGGAGGTGAGATAAGCGAGGAGCGTGTCTGCGGTTAGTGACTTCTGGATGGGACACGTGCAGACCAGGCGACCCGCAGTGGGCTAAGGCAGGAAATGAAGTCTCCACTTCTCTCCAGTTAAGGAAATCAGAGCACCAGCTCCCATGGGAGAAATCAAAACAATATTGTTTCAGAGAACAAAGCGGACCAGAAGAGAACAAAGGTTTTGGCATTGATCCTTCTCTGGGGACTACACTATCACAGACACTCCACCCCACTTAGACAAATCCAGCCTGTCTGGGACTGAAGTCCAACCTACAAGTTCATTTGTTAGGATTAGGCTCAGGAGTAGTGCTCTTTCAGTAGTTTGACCAATGCTCCAGGCCTTCACAATTGCCCAAATGAGAACAAAAGCTGGTGAGCAGTGAGAACAGTTTGTAAGAAACAGCAACCTCAGAATTCCCAGCCACGTGGAGAGTTTGGTGGCGCGTTTGCTCGTGGCTACCATGTCTCTGAAGGGGCGCCTGGGCTAGTGCCAAATGTTTCCATTGACAGTGCAAGCATAAACGTGACTCCAGCAAAATGATTTTGCTAAAACACATGCTAGAAGAAAAGGACAGAGCTACCAGAGACCTCAGAGCATAGAGTCCACCTTTTCCCACACTCTCCATTTTTACATAAGAAATGGAGTTTTAAATTGCTATTCAAAATACAAATTAGCACCTACTTCTTGCCAAGTCATATGGTTGGCCCTTGGAAAATAGATGAACAAGATATAAGCCCTGTCCTCAAGCACACTGTCTGGTAGGGACAAGCAGATCATTTCTATCAACAGTCTTGGGTCATGCTCGGCAGAGGCCAGGAGCCCGACACACCTTTCTGCGGTGGCACACGGTGACAGCCAGCGTCCCGGTGAGCACCCTGCACCGTGGAAAGAGGGTCAGACCCCCAGACAGGTTTAAGCTGTTTATTCAGAAGTAGAGAGTTTCATGTGTGGGAAAGGAGAGGGGTGCATTGAGAAGGATAGGGGTATGGGTGCATTATTTTTATATATTTTTTTTTTATTTTTTATTTTTTATTTTTATTTTTATTTTTTTATTTTTTTAGTAAAGGCAGCTGGTGAGAATATTTTTATATATTTTTTTTACATCATGTATTCTCCTATATGAATGATAAAAAGAATGAAGTTGAGTCTTTAACAATATTGAGACTTCTGATCAAACTGTATCTTTCACCAATACCCCCCAGTTACAGGATATACTCATCTTTCTTGTTAAATCAGTTTGAAATAGAGTTTTATGTGGTTGTCACCAAAAGCTTCCTAGTTGCTGTAGCATTTTCATAACTTATTTGACTGTGGAATTCCTTTTTAAGGCGTACCTTTCGGGATTAGTGTGTCTTGGTAAACACTCTGGGAACACACAGGATTTCAAGTCTGTTTAGGAGATGAAATTGATAAGAAAGTGAATTCACAAACGTACTGACTTCTAGATAAGACACCCGTAAACCTGGCCCCAGATGCCTTGTATCTAAGCATTTCCTTTATTATTTGGCTGTGGACTTCATGAACAAATATAGATTACCCCTCCACTACCCCAGGGAGTGTTACAACAGTGGCAATCTAGAATTGAGCAGCTATATGAAGGCAAATGCATAAAAAGTTGAGATATTTTCCAAAACTCAAATTTTAAAAATGAAAAATGTTATCAAAAACTTTCTGCTGGCCAGGTTTGGTGGCTCATGCCTGTAATCCTAGCACTCTGGGATTCTGAGGCAGGAAGATCGCTCCTGCCTCAAGGTCAAGAGTTCAAGACGAGCCTGAGCAAGAGTGAGACCCCGTCTCTACTATAAATAGAAAGAAATTAATTGCCCAACTAATATATATAGAAAAAATTAGCCGGGCATGGTGGTGCATGCCTGTAGTCCCAGCTACTCGGGAGGCTGAGGCAGGAGGATCACTTGAGCCCAGGACTTTGAGGTTGCTGTGAGCTAGGCTGACGCCACGGCACTCTAGCCCAGGCAACAGAGTGAGACTCTGCCTCAAAAAACAAAACACAAAACAGAATAAAGAAAAGCAAAAAACAAGAATCAAATAAATATATGAACTCATAAGCAAGAATATACCTGTTTCTATGAAAAATTAGGTCTGAAATAGCAGATGTGGTTTTTAATTGCTTAAAACAGAAACGTGGTGGGGCACGGTGGCTTGTTCCTATAATCCCAGCACTCTGTGAGGCCGAAGCAGGAGGATTGCGTGAGCTGAGGAGTTTGAGACCAGCCTGAGCAAGAGCAAGACCCCGTCTCTACTAAAAATAGAAAAAGTTAGCCAGGTGGGTGTGGGTGTGGTGGTGTGATGGTACATGTCTATAGTCCCAGTACTCCGGAGCATGAGGCAGGAGGATCACTTGAACCCAGGAGTTTGAGGTGGCAGTGAACAATGATGACACCATGGTACTCCAGCCAGGGGACAGAGGGAGACTCTGTCTCAAAAAAAAAAAACAAAAAAAACGAAAAAACAAAACAAAACAAAAAACCCCAGAAACATCTCAAGTTACTAATTCAGTTGAGGTAAAGACACTCTATTTAAAAGCCCTGAAATGTTAAAAAGATCACAAACAACCTTATTTTATAGATAGGGAGACTGAGGTTGAAAGTGAAGCATTTTGTCACATCAGTGTGAGTGTTGGAGTTGGACCAGGGCACTCTTCTGTCACCAGGGCTTAATGCAAAGTGAGAGCCTCTGACAGCAGCTGCTATCTGTTGATTTGCTCTACCCCAAATCAGAGAATGCACTGAGATCAAATGCATTTGGTTTGCTGGTAGCATATACCATTTCCCGTGTCACTAATGCTATTATGAGACACATTGCTACTGACCTGTACTATTTGACACACCCAAAAAGACCAGGGCATCAGAAACTACCTTTAGGAAGAAAGCTGCACCCAAATTCCAGTTTTAGGAGATGATATTATTCTCCTTTAAACGGTCTTTCTCGCCTCTTCTGGCTACTTATACTCCCAGGGATGGAAATTGTTCATTAGTGGAATCCAAACAAGGGATACTTTAAAAGCTCCAGGAAAGTCATATTTCCTGGAGATTGAAAATATTTTTTCTCAGAAGGAACTAGGAAGAAGCAAGAATTTTTAAAAGAATGCCCTATGAAAGAATAACCTAGACCCCAACTGGTCCAAACAAACTGAGCTTGATGAACAGTGCCAAACGTTCAGAATCAATTCAATCATACAGATAATTTGACTGATAATTTACAACGTGTTCATCACTTAACCTGTCTTAACTCAGAATTCTTGCAACAATTCTATGAGTTATGTATATAGTCTTTTGCTAAAATGAATTAGCTGCCTGTTTTTTAAAAAAACTCTGTTATAAAAATAATCATTTCAGTAGGAAAAAGGGTTTAAAGTTTCAGATTCAGAATAATTAAGTGGTTTTTCTTGCATAAGTTTTCATTTTTTTTTTTTTTTTTGAGACAGAGTCTCACTTTGTTGCTCAGGCTAGAGTGAGTGCCGTGGCGTCAGCCTAGCTCACAGCAACCTCTAACTCCTGGGCTCAAGCAATCCTTCTGCCTCAGCCTCCCAAGTAGCTGGGACTACAGGCATGCGCCACCATGTCCGGCTAATTTTTTTCTATATATATTAGTTGGGCAATTACTTTCTTTCTAATTATAGTAGAGACGGGGTCTTGCTCTTGCTCAGGCTGTTTCGAACTCCTGACCTCCAGCAATATGCCCACCTCGGCCTCCCGGAGAGCTAGGATTACAGGCGTGAGCCACCGCGCCCGGCCGGTCTTGCATAAGTTTTAACACATTTTTAAACTCAACAGCTCTAATTTTATGGCTGTGGTGATAGTTCCGAATTAACATCAAAGACAATACAAATCATATTCTCTAATTGTGACAGATTCAATTGAGGTTTTCAAAACTTACAGTGTAAGAGCAATGGCTTGATTTAGATGAGGAGAGTGACCTATCTAGGGGAAGTCACGTGCCTAAGGGTCACGTGCTGGTCAGTGTCACAAAGCGAGATTCTAATCCATGACTCCTGGATTCCGGTATCTGCTGTTGACCAGCTATGCTACGCTGCCTTCTCCTGTTGACAACTCCACTAAGAAAGGGAAGGCTGATCCTGATGAGCTCGTGTGAGTTTCTGGAGGCAGCAGTAGAGCAAAAGCAACAGGCCGGTCAAGACTCCTTTGTCAGAAGGGCCTTCCGCCTTCAGTAGGGCACTTCCCACACCTGGGTCACTCTGTAGGGCGCGGACTCCAAACTGCAGCCACGGGAGGACTCCACTTCTGAAGAGAGCCCACCGTGGCTTCTGATGTGGGCAAATTGGCTGGGGGAAAATATTGCTATTCTGTAAATCTGGGGACACACCTGGGAGAAATATTCATACAAAGGCAGAACTGACTCAAAAATTGTAATTGGGGACATGTATTCAAAAACACCTTTGTAGCCAAAACCTGGAGTGAATCATTAGAGAAATCATGACACACATTAGGTTGAAACCCTCCATAAATAGCTTTCCAAGGGACTGTCTGTGAATGTACTTTTGTTCAGTTACTGACTGAACTGAGTCATCCATTGGGAAATGCTTTAAATTAGATAGATTCTTGTCACTTGGGGATTAACTGCTTCACCTCAAGTATCAAGTGTGACATATTGGAAAAAGCAGAGAAAGATGGATAATGTGAATTCTAGTCTGAGTTGTCACCGTAACTAGCTGTATGACACACATGTTCAGCAAACCTCAGAATTTCAGGCTCCTCACCTTTCAAAGCAGGACACCTGCCTGCCCTCCCTCACGTTGTTATAGTTCTTAGAGCTGCACATGTGACTCCCTCTACCTAAAACACCCTTCCTGGAATTCTCTATCCCGCCAGGCCTTTGAGTCATCTTTCAGGGCTCCTGTCCTTCAAGAAACCTTGCCTGTTTCCTCCAATTGGGAGCTGTTGGCAACCTCCCTCGTGCTCCCACAACCTGTGCAAACATTATCACCCCACTGGGACACTGAACTCCCCTTCACTTGATTTTTGAGGAAAGGGCATTTTAGCTCTGCGTTCTCAACTCAATGCCTAATACAGTACATTTAATGATACTTGTTGAATGGCAAAGACATGGAATCAACCTAAGTGTCCATCAATGGAGGACTGGATAAAGAAAATGTGGTAAACACACACAATGGAATACTATTCGTCTTTTGTAGCAACATGGATGGACTTGGTGACGTTACCTTAAGAAAAACAACTCAGACACAGAAAATACAAATATTGCATGTTCTCACTTATAAGTGGGAGCTAAATAACGTGTACATGTGGAAGCAGACCAGGCGTGGAATGATAGTGGAGACCTGGAGGAGTGGATGATGGGAGGTTGCTTGGTGGGTACAATGTGTGTTGCTTCAGTGATGGGTGCACTAAAGCTTTGACTCCACCACAATGCAGTATGTCAATGTAGCAAAACTGCATTTGCACCCTGTGAATATATACAAATACAAAAATGAACGGAAAAAAATACTTGACTATGTTAATTAAAGCTCTTACAAACTGCTACATAAAAATATTACTCTTATTAGTTAATTATTGAAAATAAAAATACATACTAGTACTTTAGTTTTCTTGCATCTTTAAAAAAACTCCCAGGTGCAAAGAATCACAAGTCTTGAGGAAACAACCTTCTGCCTAATGCAAGTTTTTCCAAATATTTACATTACTTCTGCTACATTTTCATATACAAATGTATCAAGCAAAAAAGGATACAAAATTACCCATAAAAGTTGGTAAAAGAATTTTATTATGTGGCTTAGGTAGGTTTTTGCATTCTACTAACAGAAAAGCATTTTTCCACACCTTATTTAACCTAACAAATTATATACTTGTGATTTTATCTACATGCCTGCAGTATTACACTATTGAAAACCTTCCTTTCATATGTACTTTGGTGCAATTATACAGTAGATACCTCTTCCTCCAGAAAACAAAAATATTCTCAGTCTAAACTCAAAATGGAATAAAGACATTAATACCAAGTTTGTGCACCATTTGGTAAAAGATTGCAATAAAAATCAGAACAGTATGCTGCTTAACATACAAAGAAGATGAGACATCTGCCACAGTTTCAGTCAAACCTTTGTAGGAATGATTTAGCATCTGGGTGTATTTTTACTGCAGTTTTCACATACGACAGGTGGGATTGTACCACAATGAAGAATAGTCTCATTTGTAAAAGAGACTCAAAAATTGGACTCTAGCACAGGAAATGTCTCTTGGGGCTTAGTAATATACAAATGGATAGAAAACAAAATTGCCTTAAGAAAAGTTTCACAATTGACTAAACATCTGAAACGTTTTTATCACAGCTTTCATATATTAAAAAAGTTTCCTCCAGAGATGAAATAAAACCTAGTCACTATCATCTGACCCATGTTCAGAGCCTCTGTCTGAGGCCTCGTTGTTGGATCCCTCTGGTTCGGATTCATTCCCAGAACCTTGGCCGGAGCCCTCGTTATCAGATCCTCTCTCGGATCCTCTCTCAGATCCTCTCTCGGACTCGCGGTCTGACTCGGCACTGGGAGAAGCCGGGCGAGAGTCATTCTCGGAACCTCCTGAGCGGCTTCTCCCTGACTGCACAGACTCGTTGTCGGACTGTTCGGAACCCGAGGGCCTTCTCTTTCTGGACGGCTGGTCGCTGTCTGAATCCTCATCTGACTGCCGGCGTCGAGGCCTCTGGGGACTGCTGGCCTCGCTGCCAGACTTGTTCTGGTTGTCATCAGAATCGCTCTCTGACGAGGCACGCTTCCTCTGCGGCTCGTCGTCCTCGTCTGAGTCGCTGTTGCTGTTGCTGTTGTTCCTGGGGTGTCTGGCAAAGATAAGCAGGGGTTAGAAACGGACGGTTCTGGCTAACGGGAGCCTTGACCAGCAGAGATAATGTACTTTTAAAAAATAAGGGGATTTAATGTTGGTGGTTACATTTCGCAATAAAAAATAGGATTTAAAAGGAAAAAAGAATAAGGCATTTTAAAAACAAGTCAGAATATAAACAGAAGGGGATTCTCACTGGGTACTTTTCATCAGAATGAAACATTTCCCAATTTCATATATAAAAGTGTGAGAAGGGAAATATTTATCTTTATACACAAAATAACAGCAACAAAGGTGAAACCCAGGATCTAGGTTGTCTGTCAAGACTTTGAAGAACTGACCCTCTGCCAAGGCTGTAAGAGTGGGAAACTTCCCTGTCCTAGTACCATCTGTGTTAACAGATACCTGAAGAAGAGTGATGCCATAGTTTCTATCCCGAAATTTGCTGCTGGACTAGGCCCCCTCAACACTGACCAGACTTACTCGAGATAGGAAGCTGTGGCTAAGAGAGTCCTTTGGCTTGTTTACCTTTCCTCCTGAGCTCCCCCTACTTGTCAGTTACATGTAAAGGGAAAGGGAAGATATGCTTATGCGTAGAGTGGTGGTAGCACCCTGGGAGTCTGGGCTTCCCGGAGGCTCTAGGGGAAAGAGCATTCCCTTAACCATGGTGACAGCTGCTTCAGAGCAGACATATTACTCTGGCATATTCCTTAGTTTTGGTTTCCATGACAGATATTCCTAGAAAGGAATACTGAATCCTCTAGGGTTCAGTCTAGGAAGGGTGGGGGGCAGAGGAGGGGTTAAATGTATTATTCTCTTCAGAAACTAATATATCCCTGTAGATTAGGGAAAGATTCTTTGTGCCTCAAAGAAACAAGACTGAGGCACAGTATATAACCCAGGTCATTCTGAGAGAACATGAAGAGTGACTAAGGAGAGATCGCATATTTATTGTGTATACCTATTAAAGGTCAGTGGGTTCCCTGGGATCCAATTCATTTCACTCCACTGGGCCAAATAAGCAAACACATTTTATGGTGGTCAGGACAAAGTTTACTGATGCAAATAGCTCAAATAAACTTGGCCTTGACCTCAGGTACAGGGTTGGCAGCAGCTCATCTTCTAACAATGTACCTTTCTGTCTACACATTTTAACAGTACTCATTCCTTAAAAACCACACATTTCATTACACTGATCATGCATGCCTCTAACCGGTGGACCAGGGTAACACTGTGGGGGCAAGGGCAAAACAGTGTTTTAGGGGAAACAATCCAAATTTGTGTCAGCCAATGTCTTCAGAGAAAAAGGGAACTGCAAATCTTTGTAGACGGTTCTCTACAGATCTCTACCCTCTGAGGACAGTCCCCTACCAGAACCCTTACTCTCCTTAATATGCTAACCTCTGCCTCACCTCTAACGAACCAGGCCTCCCTGTTCTTCCTTTAAGACTCAAACACCTTTTCTTTTACAAAAAAACTCCATCTCTTACAACTCCCACCACCACCCAAATTCCATTAGGCATGGTCCCTGGAGAACAATAAATCCAAAACTTAAGTGATAACACTTATCTCACTACAAGGTGGTTTTGGTTTGTTATTCTCCACTACTTCTGAAGCAGAGATCCCTTGCATTTACACTATCGTACAGGATGCATGTTCAAATGTCTGTTGAATACATGACTGAAACAATGGCTATAGAACTTGGTGTAGCATGGTATTAAGAGTCCTAGTCTAAGAATCCAAATGGGGGACAAGTTTAGGACAAATAAAATCAAGTATTGCTTCACCAGGTGGGCCATGCACTAAAGGAGAGTACTGTATAAGCAGTCTAGAATAAGCCTTTCATGGAGCAGGTTGAGTTGATACATTTCATTTAGGAGGATGTCATCTACGAAATTTCAGCTAATATCCATGAAGAAATGATATTTCAAAATAGGTTTTCTTCTTTGAGGGAGAAGCAAGTAGTGGGACAAAATGGTGGGGTTAGAACAACATGTCTGCTAAAGTTTCTTCCAACTGTAAGATTATAAGAAACTAGACAGATGACATCTTGGCCCAGTGGCCACTCCTAGTTATCTATTTCCTCCAATTTTCAAGAATCTATTGTTTCCCCCTTTGAGAAAAGACAAGAAAAGAAAAGAGAAAAGAAAAAGGAAAAAGTATATTTTTCCTAGTACAGAAAGGCTGATTAACCACCACTTTTGGTTTACCATGGTTTACATGATTTGAAGAATTTATCAAGGCAAAAATTCCTACCCTTCATCAGCAATTTTAAGTTTATCCTCATCTGAAGAATCATCACTTGATGATATTATGGCTTTGGATTTTATTTTTCCCTTCATTGAAGGAGGCAGACGTTCTGGCTTGGGCTAAAGAAAGAATGTCAAACATAATAGATTAGTCAAGACCCTTATATTAGGAAATCTTGTTAAACTGAGTTTGCATTATAATAATATAATCAAACAGCCACCAATAAACTTTGAAAAGCATTTGTGCTTGAGGAAGCTACAGAGAAAAAATGTATTCTAGTGTATGTAATCTTTTATGTCTACCAGGGCACAGAAAAACACAGTACTATAGAAACTTACAGTCTTTTTCTTCTCTGCTCTTGGTGGACGGCGCTTTTTCGGTTTGGGGCCATTTTCTGTTTCATCATCATCAGATCCTTCTTCTCCCTTTGTAGGTCTTAAACAGTGAACACCAAGAGAGCTTGTTAAGACTCACTCATGCCTATAAAGTCCAATGATACTTTGACATTAAATTATTATTCATTTTAAATATCCTTCTATGTGGGTGCTATCCTCAACCATATTGTACTCAAGGGCAGAGTCCATAACTTTCTCTTGCTATACATAACTCAGGTAAAAATCATGTATTTAAGCAATGTCTGCTGACTAATTTAGTCACTGTTGAGCTCGCAGATTAATCTACATTTGAATCTTGCACTTGGTGGAGGGTGGAGTGATAGAGAAGCTGAGAAAATACCCAGGCTCCAAACCTCAACATCTTTCCCCTCCTCTTCCTTCCTTCCCAACTGCTGATCCCAGGCCTGCTATAATGCCCTCAGCATAGCTTCAATTCCATAGGTCTGTGTTAGAATAAATTCATCAGGTTCTTTCCCAAGTATTGTCAGCTAAAAGCTGGGAAGGGCAGTTCTAGGTAAGATAGTCAAATGCAGGTTCCTGGACAGGGAAGTAGCATGAGATAGGAATGGGATAGTTTAGGGGGCATCTCCATGTGAGAGAGGGCAGGGCACCCTTGATCTTAACAGCAGATAGTACTGGGTGTTTTAAAAGCCACTTTTACATATATTCGCATCTTAAGCCTTGAGCAAAACCATGAGGTGGGCGTTGCTGTTAACCATTTTACAGAGAAGAAACTGAGACTGAGTGACTATTCCAAGATTGCACATGCATAGACAGTGTGGACACAATCCAGGTCTTCTCATCCTAAATCACATCCATTTTTGCAATAAATATAACTTTAAAGACACAAGAAAGGCAATTATGAGTAACTTGTAGCTCTCAGAAGGAAAGCTGTGTAGAAGTATGGAAATTCCAAGTACTCAGGAGATTCTGTAACGGGTCTATCTTAGGATTAAAGTAGGAAGCAGGGGCACAAAAGGGTTCACTTTTTGGAAAGATGAAGTGATTACCAGGGGCTCAAAAATTCTAAACATAAAAAGATTTAGAAGGTG